CAAAAATACCTTCCACAAATTTTGAATAGTGAACAAAAGTTAAAGTTTCATATGCACTGATCAATCTAATGATAGTCAATAAAATTTACAAACAGAACAGACATACTTGAGATGATGAATTTAATTTTACTGAAGGTAGATAAGTTGCTCTGGGTATGCTAAGGAAGAAGAAGAGCAAGCCTCTCACAGCAAACTACTTCCAAGGAACTTAACTAGAACCCAGAACAAAGAATACATACGAGAAGACAAAACTACCTCGCATGTTCTAGGATACATTCACATTTCTCAATGTTTGCAATGTTTAAAAAAAATCAATTGGCATGCAAAGCAGAAAATATTAACTATAAAGAGGAGAGAAACTAATCTATAGAAAATACCAAAATGATACAAGATAGAATTATCTTTTTACATTTTTATCCACTTGATAATCTTTGTCATTTAACTGAGGACATCAAAATAGCTGCCTTTCAAATGCTCAAAAAGGTAAATGAAGACTGAAGGTCATATAGGTACATAGAAAATATTTTAAAAGACTTGCAGTTACTTTTAGAGAGGACACAGTTAGAGACGACACAGTCAATGTCTGAGATGAAGAATATTCTGGCTAGGCTTAATAGCAGATTGGATACTACAGAACATAGGCTGAATAGATGTGAAGATGCCACGATAAAAGGTGCCCAATATGAGGGTTGGGGAGACGGCTTATGGTACAGTGCTTGCCTATCATGCATGAGGCCCAGAGTTCAATTCCCAGACACACACACACACACACACACACACACACACACACACACTGAAAATGAAACAGAAAGAAGACTGAACAAAAAAAATGAAACATCCAAGGTACAATTTCATGTGACCCAAGTCTACAAAAGAGGCTCAAAGGACAGATAACGCTATGTACACACAATGGCCAAGTATGTTGAAAACTATAAACCCACAGATCCAAAAATCCCACTGACTTTAAGCACAAAAAACAAAATTACAATGAGGCAGGAAACAATTAAATTGCTTAAAATCAGTAATTAAGGAGAGTATCTTGAAAGGAGCCAAGGAAAACACACTTGAACACCGAGGAACAAAGAACAGGAGCCTTCTTGTCAGAATTAATCAAATTTAGAATATCTTTAAATACATAAAAAGAAAACAAGTATGATCAATCCAGAAGTATATGCCCTGTATTTTTCAAAAGTAAAATGCTTCTTTAAATTTTTATTTTATTGCTATTTTGTGTATGTGTATATGTGTGTGTGTGTGTGTGTGTGTGTGTGTGTGTGTGTGTGTACAAGCACAAGAGCCACAGTGTGCATATGGAGATCAGAGGGTAACTTTGTAGAGTCAGTTCCTTACTTCTACGTTTATCTGGGCCCCAGAGGTTGAACTCAGGTCACCAGGCTTACACAGCAAGCACTTTACCTGCTGAGCCATCTCCCTGGGCCCCCAAATTCTTTTGTACATATAACAAAAACTCAACACACTGGCATTAATAAATATTAAACTAAAGGAAGTCTTTTAGGAAGAAGATGAGTGATACCAAATAGCAATCTGGATTGACACAGAGGAACAAATGGCACAAAAAATAAAGTTTTTCTTATTATTTATCATTATTATTTTCCTGTTATTATTGATTTTTTAGTATCTTTAAAATACTACTTGAAGGGGCTGAAGAAGTGGCTTAGTGGTTAAGAGCACAGGCTGCTCTTGCAGAGGACCTGGGTTCAGTTCCCAGCACTCACTATGGCAGCTAACCAACCACCAGTTCCAGGAGAAAATGATGCCCTCTTCTGACCTCTGCAGGCATTAAACATGGGTGCACTTACACACCTGCAGGTAATACACTCATACACACAAAATAAAAATCATAAATTAAACAAAACAAAAAATGGGTACATTATCTGAAATTAGAGGTATGCTAAAACCCCTAAAGTAACTTAAAAGTTGTTGTTGATACATTCACCAACAGAAGTAAACTAGTGCAAATGAAGAATGAACAAAAGGGGGAAAGGAAAAAATACAGAAAAGTCAAATAGAAAACTGACTGTAAAATGGTGGGCTTCAATTCAAACACGTCAGTAATCACCTCAAATGTAAACGATCTGAACTCCTCAATTAATAAAGATTATCTGATTGGAGAAAAACATAAGACCAACCTATATGGGCCATATAAGAAACTGAGAAACCCACTTCAAATACAATGACAAAGATAGATATTAAGTAAAAGATGGG